ATCCACCCGCCTCGGCCTCCCAAAGTGCTGGGATTACAGGCTTGAGCCACCGCGCCCGGCCCAAGGGCTGGTCTTGAACTCCAGACCTCAGGTGATCTGCCCGTCTCAGCCTCCCAAAGTGCTAAGATTACAGGGGTGAACCACTGAGCCCGGCCTCTTTTTTCTTTTCTTGAGAGGGAGTCTTACTTTGTCGCTCAGGCTGGAGTGCAGTGGCACCGTGTCGGCTCACTGGAACCTCTGTCTCCTGGGCTGAAGCAATTCTTCTGCTTCATCCTCTCGAGTAGCTGTGATTACAGGTGCCCACCACCATGCCTTGCGAATCTTTGTATTTTTTAGTAGACAAGGGTTTCACCATGTTGACTAGGCTGGTCTCAAACTCCTGAGGTCAGGTGATCAGCCCACCTGGGCCTCCCAAAGTGCTGGGATTACAGGCCTGAGCCACCACGCAAGTCCTCTATTCACTTTTGCAGGAGGTTGCTCTCTTGTTAGCGGACAGAGATGAGTAGGATTGTGGATAAAGAATTGAGCCTAGGTGCACTGTATTTATGGAAAAACAACAACAACAACAACACTGTATTTATGGAAAAAAAAAAAAAAAAAGAAAGAAAGAATCGAGCCTAGCATTGGGAGGCCAGAGAGGGAACATTGCTTGAGTCCAGGAGTTCCAGAGCAGAGCAGTCTGGGCAGCATAGGGAGACGGCCTCCTTCACCCCCCATGCGCGGCTACCTACATAAAATGAAAGAAACAAACAAACAAAAAACCTGAACCTAGAAAAAGCAGATTGGCACCTAAATTCACATGCTTTCAAACTGCCGCCATATCTTTGCCTAGCCTTTTAATTTCTCCTTCTTCACTGCTAATTTCAGTATCATGTAACAAAAAGACACTGATTTTGAACGAGTGTGAAAATGTTGGGATTGATGGATGTAAAAGGAATTTGCTAGCGAGTCACCGACAGAGGGGGTATAGCTCAGTGGTAGAGCATTTGACTGCAGATCAAGAGGTCCCCGGTTCAAATCCGGGTGCCCCCTCGGTTTTCCTTGTGTTTTTTCACAGCCATCTAGGAGTAACCTGAGTTAGCGAGTGCTGAATACAAAACCCACGGGAGGTGTCCTTTGTCTCTTCCACCTACCTAATTTTCATTCACCTTCAAAGGATTCCCGTACCCGAGAGGGAGAGAGCAGCAACCAGAGGTTGCTTTGAGGTGGATCTAAGCCCGTATACCCCAAGTGGCGAGAAGCGCTCTTGAAATCCCAGTTGTAGAACAAAGGCATCGATTCCCATCTCCGAGGCCCACTGGTTTAATGTTAATTATAATTTGTTTTGGGGCAAAAAAATGTCGCGTCGTGAGCGGGGCTAGTTCTTACTTGACTATGAAGACTAGGAGAAGGAATCCAAATGCAGAGGTCTTCATATACTGGCGAACTCGAACAGGACAGGGCACCTCTAGAAGGCGCCGTGGCTCATGCATGTAATCCCAGCACTTAGGGCCGAGGCGGGCGGATCACAAGGTCAGGAGTTCGAGACCAGCCTGGCTAAAATGGTGAATCCCCGTCTCTAATGAAAATACAAAAAATTGGCCGGGCTAACAGTTGCATGTAATCTCAGTTACTCGGGAGGCTGAGGCAGGAGAATCGCTTGACCCAGGACGCAGAGGTTGCGATGAGCCGAGATTGCCCCAGCCTAGGTGACACAGCAAGACTACCTCTCAGAAAACAAACAAGACAAAAAGTAGAAGCTAAACAGCGAGGTTTTTCCCTCTTCCTTCTTTACTTAGCTCAAAGGCAGGGCTTTGGCTTGATAAGATATAGATGGAAAGTTCGAGGCCTAAAGAAGAGGTAAAAGTGGTTCCTCCTGGCTTTTGCACGGAACCGCAGCTTTACTGATTTGTGGTCTCTCTGTCCAGCCTAGCGAAGCAGCTCACACAGTCCTGCGAGCCATGAGAAAAAAATGCGCGGTTCCCGGGGTCCGAGGGATGACACAACCACATTCCGGTTTAAAATATCGCAGCTGCCCTTTGACCCAGGCAGCACGGCTCTTCCTCTCTCCTTTATTTTTCCTTTTTTTGGGCAAAATCTAGTCGAGGGCGATGCCCTTGTCTCCAGTCACACTTACCATTTTCCTCCTGCCCTACAGTGACACTGTTAGGCACGCCGCCAGCAGATACTTGTCCCCATCTTTAGGTTATGAAAACCCATGCCCTTTTATTTTCACTTCAGTGGTTCTTAAAATGTGGTCCCCACACCAGCAGCACCAGCGGCACCTGGGAACTTGGTAGAAATGCAAATTATCGGGGACCCCTTATAGAATCAGAAACTAGGAGTGTTTTTGATAAGCTCTGCAGGTAATTGTGATGCACGCTCAAGTTTGAGAAACATCGTGTTCGTTTATCTCAGTTTGCATTGGGATATAACTTTACTTTTGTACATTAATAGTCAAGGATGAACACAGCACGTCCATGTCACTATTAACATAGAAAGTTGAAGTTGGAGAAGGGCTGTGTCTGTGGGTTTTCCTCACTTGACCTACCCTCCACCCACAAAAGGAAAGCCAACTTGAGGCGTTCTCCTGTCTCCCTACCCCCATTGGAAACATCCTGTCCCTCAAACCCGGCGCCTGGAACTGTCTGACTCATCTGAGGCTGGCGTTCGTGGCCGCAGAAATCCCTACACCCCTGGAGCGAGTAATGGGGTCGCTCAGCTTTTATACCCACACTCTCCTCCTCCCGCTGAGCACAAAGTAAAACCGAAAGCTTTCTACTAAGCTTGAAAAATGAGGAAGAGACTTTTTTCATTTTTCTTTTAGTCTAGGACTCAATGTTAAAATATGAATCAAGAATAGGTGGAAAAGCCACCGAGGGGGCACCCGGATTTGAACCAGGGACCTCTTGATCTGCAGTCAAATGCTCTACCACTGAGCTATACCCCCGCACTGCTGCTGCGCCTCGAGGCGGCTCTTTTGAGTGCTAAGCATTGTTGCAGCTGCTACACTGTGAGAACGTAGTAACATAAGGAGGAAGGAATGCAGGAGAAAAGGGATCAGGCTGAACGCAGACAGTGCCCGCATCCGGGAACCCCGGGAAGGTGCACTGCATGGGCTCGAGGAGGGAAGCACAGCCCGGGCTCAGCAGAGCGGAGTCCAAGAGGGAGGGACAGGTTCCGCCCCACAAATGTGGGAAAGGGTGTGGGCCGGAAGGGGGCTAAGAGGGACAGGGCGGGGGGTCTCCGTTCGGTCCCCAGATTCACGCCAGGTATCCACGGGTAGAGTGGAAAGTCCCTGAAGGTGGTGAATCAGCTCGGGCGTTCAGAAGGGCTCCAACCCCACCCTGGACGGGCTTGAGGGGTTACCCGCCTCCCGCAGCCCCGGCGCCCCAGATGTGCAGCCCGCCGGGCTCTGCGCCGTCCCAGGCTCGGGAAAGGCCCTGGGCGCTGGGCGCAGTTCGCCTGGGAGCCCTGGGGCGCCAGCACCCCGTGCCCCGCGGACCTCCCCGGAACCTGCCCCCGCGCAGCCCCACGTCGCCCAGGGAGCGCGCCTCGCTGCGCGCGCCCTTGCCCGCGCCCGAGGCGCGTGCCCGCTCCGGTGCAGCCCCTCCTCCCCGCTGTGTTTATTAGGGGAAGGAGGGCGGAGGCGGAGGCCAGTTCCCCAGCTCCAGCCGCCGTCGCTCCCGCCTGTGTAGTTGCAGCCGCGGCCGCCTCCCGCCAGCTCGCCTCGGGGAAGAGGACGCTCGCGAGCTCGGGCGTTCCCGCCCCAGCCTTTCCCGGAAACATGAACCCCAACTGCGCCCGGTGCGGCAAGATCGTGTATCCCACGGAGAAGGTGAACTGTCTGGATAAGGTGAGCCCGGGACCGGGAGACGCGTTTTTGCAATCCCCGGGAGTGCTCCCAATCCAGGGAGGAGGGAAGGGCCGCGTCTTTGCCGCCTTATTCCCGCGATCCCAGGAGAATGGAAGGAGGACGAGCTGGCGGTGTCATGGGGTGTGGGGACACATCCCAGTCTGGAAACCCGGAGATCTGGGGCGAGGCGGGGAGTCCACGCGTAGCGGGCAGCCGCTGCTGGAGAGGGGTGGGCTCTGTGCCCCAGGGTTTGGAGGACCGGAGAGGAGCAGGGAAGCCAGGCCCCGGGCTGTGTTGGGGGTAGGTGAGGGGTGCAGTCCCGCCCCCTAGGGCCTGGAGAGTGAGAAGAGACGGCCGCTCCCTCGCCGCTCCGCGCCGAGCGCCAAGTAGGCGGAAGCGCCGGGCGCTTGTGGAGGGGGCGGGGGGGCGGGGCAGAGGCTGGGGGGCCCTGCGAAACCGTCCGCTTCGGCGGGGGATGGCCTGGCTTCCTGGCCTGGGGGCGGGGGCTATCAGCCTGCGAGTGCTGCATCTGATGCGGGGGGTTTCCGGTAAGGACCCGGGCTCCCCCCTGCAAGCTTCCCCGCTTTAGAACGACCTGCAGCCCCCTAGGTGATTTAGTGGTTAAAGGACTCGCAGACCTCCTCCATAGATTCCCAACCCCCACTTCCAATTAAAAGCCAACTCCCGGTGCTGGGCCGCCCAGCCTGAGCCAGGCGGGGTCGGGTGCTGGAGTAGGGTGGATGGGGGGTGCTTCGCCGAGATCTCCTGAAATTGTGCTCAGAGCTAGGAGACCGTGTGGTAGAACAAAGAGCTAACTTTTCAAAGCAGGTTTCTCCCGTGGAGGGTGGGGTTGGCTGAGTTCTGGGGAAACCGAGGGAAAGGGGAGGTATGGGGGGAGGGGAAGGTGGCCTTGTGGAGATTCACTGTCCCCTGGGGGCCCTGTCTCCCCCATGCTGGACTTGTTCATCTGGTTGCCATTAGACTTTTGGAGGGGGGTGGGAGAGTAGAACTGGGTGTTTCCGGTACAGTTTGAGGTAGGACCCTGTCTTCTCGTAAGCTCCTAACGGAAAACCTGCCCCTCTACATCCTCTCCCCAGTCTGGGCGGGGGGAGGAGGGGGGCTCTGTGATTTTGCCCCCTTCCTCACCGTGCTTTTCATCCACCACCCAAAGCTGGCTCCAAGTCCAGATATTCTGTCCTTTCCATCTGAACTGGGAAGGCTGGGGGGACTGGATGGAAAAGGGGTGCAGGGATGGGGGCAATGGATGGAAGAGGGGTGCCCCAGGGGTGCCCTGGGGCCAACTTCATTGCTGATCTGGAGCTGGGTTTTGTTCAGGAAGAATAGTTCATTGGACACTTTGTCTCTCCCCTCCCCCTTGGGGTGTGAGCTTCCTCAGACCTTTGGCCTCTGAGTCAGGGTGAGGAGGTGGGGCTGGAGGTTCTGAAACACATTTGAGCTTGCTCTTGGGGTGTGTGGGCATATGGGGCCGCTGCTGTGTCACCGTCCCTGGTCCTGGGCTTGATTGGGCAGGAGGAGAGGAGGAGCAATATTGTGGGCACAAGGAAAGGTGCTGATCTGCCCATGACCATGCCAGCCGGTGCTGCGCAGGACTTGGACTTAGAGCTATCAGATGCTGTCTCCCCTTGAGAACCTACCTGTCCTTGCACACTGGGACCTGGCCCTTCCCTGGTGGCAGAGATTTCGGCCTCTGCATCTTGAGTTCCCTGTTGTCCCCTTCTCCACAGTCATGAATTGGGAAGAGGCAGTGGGCACTTCGCCTATATAAGGAAAAAGCAATACATGAAGGCAGGATTGCCACCCGAGGAGTTGGGAGACTGGGTCCTTGTTCCAGGTCTGCACCCACCAGTTTTATGAATGGCTGTAGGCCTCAGTGTTCACCATCTGTCAGATGGGTATGATGATGTCATTTCCTTCAAGGTGGGGCAGTGCACTAATGTGCCTGAGTGCTAAAGAGGGTGTCGTATAGACTGTGCCCTCCCTACCTTTCTGGGATGCTCTGTTCAGCTCCACGCCACTCCCCTTGTAAAGACCTTAAGTGCTGTGTATCAGAGCGGAGGGGAGCAGGCAGGGATGCTGCAAGATGCCCTCCCCAGCTCTCCTACCCTAGCTGGAAGAGGACGTTCAAGTGGGGGTGCCCAGGGAAGTGGGAGTTGGCAATTCCTCCCTCTTTTTAGAACTCTCTGTACAGGAAGTGGCCCTGGAGAGACCTTGCCCCCTGTACTGAGCAGGAGGCCTGAAATATCCAGGTATCAGGCCGGGCTCGGTGGCTCAAGCCTGTAATCCCAGCACTTTGGGAGGCCGAGGCGGGTGGATCACCAGGTCAAGAGATCGAGACCATCCTGGTCAACATGGTGAAACCCCGTCTCTA